TCCCCGCAGTGAAATATTTAGCCCTTTTTGTCACTTACTAGTATGAGTCGCGCATATATTCATGTATATTTGTCGGACCCGTGCCACACAGCCGTATACGTATAATAAAGTTTTTTTGACGTTGCATAACGTCATTATTGCCGAGCCGACAAGACACATTATGGCAAACGTTGTACGACAACTACATTGTGTAGGTCATTCAAATAAACTACAGTTATTTCATGATGCAAGTAATTGACAATACGGTAGTTCTGTTTTTGGAATATTTGTTGGCCATGTAGCTTGGACCCCCCCCCCCCCAATACATTTTGCTGGATCCGCCACTGGACATCACCTGTGTTGACGCATGATGTTTGTACATGCAATAGTGTTTGAGATATTGGAGACATGCATATTTAATGAGTTCTATGACCATATATGGTCATTGAACATATTAGCCATCTCTCTTGTCCAAAGTCTTCAATATAGCATTTGTTCCATCACAGTCCCTTTATGTTTGTATATGATTTGAAGCACCATCCAGTGGTTCAAAATACTCTGAAAGCGCAGGTTCACGGCGGTCCCCCATAACTTCGAGTTGCTAAGGGTATTATAATGATTATAATAATAACTTTATTACACAACTACACTATCGGTGGGTGTTGTATGGTAAGGATGCAGATCAGAAAAAAAACACAAATAAACAAAAAACAACAAAAGATTCAAAATTACAAACAAAACAAACTAAAGGGTACATGTATATATAAAATACGTATTGCACATTTTTAATTTACAGTCTTCTAAGAGGGTATTTTTGTTTGAGTGAAGAAGCAACAGTTAAGGATGAAATGTTCTTCATCTTTTACAGTACCTGTGTTGCATTTTTTACACAATCTGTAGTTTGCATCAATTCAATTTTCTTCTCCCTAATTCTATTTCGAAATTATGGTCACTAAGTCGAAATTTTTGGTAACCCTTCTTCTCAAATTGAAGTCCTGAATTTCTGTTAAATATCCTTCAAATTCATATTCCATTTTAAACAAATTATACGTTCTTAGATTGTTTCCTGAATTTCCGTTTTTTGTGACATGACTAAGTTGCTGATACCATGTTTGTATATATTTATTTTTTAATTTTTCTTCCAACAATTTTGTTAATTCAGCGATGTTTCCCACATTATATATTTTCTTTACTTCAGATAAGTCAGCATGTCCAAGAATTGTTTTAACATATTTTATCCAGCTTGAGTTTGAAGACACTGTTTCTTGATTGATGATTTTCTGGTAACAAAGACAGTCTGTGCCAATATTTAATTTATAGTGATAAAGTATTACTTGTCTCCCAAGATGGCCGAAGCCACCGGCGAAGGCGCTTTTTGTCACGTGAAAATGTTTACTTATCATTTACAACTGTATGTCTTGCCTTTATTGTAGTTTGCGAGGCGAGTTGAGGCATAGACCTTCGAAAATAAAGATATGGAAAATCCAGTTTCCTCTGTGCAACGTGGGTTATAATCTCCTGTATAGATAATCCCATTAATACATATACCTAAAAGATTTATACATCTGAAACAGTTTAACTTTCTACGCTTTTTTATATGTTTGATAAGTTATGCTGTGCCAATATTCACATTTGTCAGTGTATAACGAGTGCACTATGCTATATCTGCTCTAAATATGATGAAAAATCCACTTGTTACGTTTAGGCAGTTTTGTTTTCTTGTTGAGGAAACTGACCCTTTTTGTTTCCTTTTTCTCTTTTCATAGTGGAATAAAATCTGTTAACTTTGCAATTTTTAGTTTCATCGTATCAGCAGAATGGACTTGGCTATTCAGTGTTAATCAAATGTATTTTTTCTGATTATATTCAAACCACAGAGTTGGCTTATGTCGTGTAGCTACTCCCTGGTACCATACTGGTACCATGTTTGGCTTATGGAACAGGAGAGGAACAGTGGTGTTGACATAGCTTTATTGTCAGTTTCACTAAGATGTTAATTGGGTAGAGGATTATAACTATGATTACATTAGTACATCGATCCATGGAGCTAAAAAAAGAAGGAGAGAGGACGCAATATAAGCCAATAAACTCCCTTTGTTTCACGCCCAGATTATCCAATTAAACCCATTGAATTTCGTTCTATGGAAATCCACGATAGCTGGTGTATGTTTGCACAGTGAGATGTGCCGTAGTCCTGTATTTCAAGTGAGATGTACGCCCCTCTCATAAAACTGAATGCGCAGTTAACAAATAAGGTCACTGCGTATGCGCAGTGGCGTGTGATTGGTGCATTAGGTAATTCTGCGTATTTAAAGACCGGAAGCACAACAGTCGGACGATTATTCAAGAATTGGCGTCAATTTACAACATTTTTGTGCTCCGTGAGTTGACGATTTTCGAGGCTTGATTACCAAATTTTCCGCAAACATTTGCAAAACAGTTCAACTTGATTTATTATCGTTGTGAAGTTGGCTTTTAGACTCTATTTTCATTTTCTGCGAGCGACGTCCAGCGATCGGTAAAGATCGCATTTCATATGTCGATGGTTCGCCGCTAGGTTGGAAGATTACTGTACTGTTTGTTACTGTGCGCATGCGCAGTCAACTCTAATCGCGCTCTCCGTCCCAGAGGCCTTTGCACACAGTGTGTCGGCGAATACCGAATGCGTTCCGAATATACACGAATCACGTAATCCAATTAGAAGGGATTAAACAGACAACAGGGAAGAGATTGTTTATCTTTTGGCTAAGCAAACAAGAACCAACTAACGTGGTACACAGGAAAGACAATAGGGTCCTCTCTCCTTCTTTTTTTAGCTCCATGATCGATCCATGGTTACATGAAAGGCACTGGCGGATCTAGGGGGTCTTGGGGTCCGCCCCCTGAAAAATGTATTCAATTTGTTTTTGTATAATATAAAAAATATCATTAACTTAGTCTGGCGATTTTAAAGTTTGACCCCCCCCCCATAAAAAAAATCTGTATCCGCTCCTGAAAGGGATACCCACAGTATCATGTCTTTGTTTTCTAAGGTAAGTAAACAGGGAGTCAGGACAGGAAGTTACACACCGCTGCCCCGTAACTGAGGCCAGCAACTCATTTGCATTTGGTCATGGCATTTTATATGTTCCCGTACCAAATAAAATTTATCTTTGCATATAACATTAACAGTGACTTGTCAATCAAAGAGCAACACAAACAAACACACTTTTTCGGGACTTTTAATCACTTACGCGTGCCTGGGTTGCCTATATTTTAAAATCGTTTTTGAGTGTGTTCCAATATTGACAAAGCTCAGAAATTTTAACACTACCTAGCGAAGACTGACAGGGTAAAAAAAGGCAAAGAAAAATCACTCTGAGTGCCCTCGAACCTACATTTTTACCTTAAGTACACAACACAGGATGATGCTAAACCGAGGGTCACACGAAACTGAATTGCAACCAAATCAACTTGGGTAAATAAGTGGCAATTGCAAAGCTATACAAGAATATTTAATTGGACAGATCAGGTAGTCCTCATGGTACAATTGTGTACAGACTGACTTGTTGTATGCCCTGAGGTACCCCCTCCCGCAAATACCATCCAGTTTTGACAACAGGTATTGCTGGTTCCACTTTAATATGCCCATGGAGGTAAAAAGATGGTATGGTATGCCTGACCACCCCTGAATCAGCTCTTCTAAATTATTTATAGTCTTCACTGCAGGTATGCCTGCCATTGGACCAGTCCGTGGAACACGTACATGTGTTTAAGTTGGCGCAATCATCAATGAACTAGTCAATATACCATTATACCATAAGTATTTCTCCAAGTCTAACCTTATAATACAACGAACGATAAAGCAGCATAATATATAGTGAAAGGGCATTGACTCGACATCTTTATTGACGCATGAAGTGTCAGATTAGGGTCACCCTGTTCTTCGTGAACAAATAACAATAAACGGCACAGGGATAGAAGGGTGTCTAACATACCGTGACCTGAAAACCTGAATCGTGTGATGCGAATGTTGTTATTTGGATTCGTAAATTGTACTTGTTGAATAATTTGCATTCTGTCCCACATTTAACGTATGCATGCTTCATACGAATACACACGCGTTTGAACTGAACTGAACTGTAAACAAGTCGGATTGAGACAAATTAAACACGAGAACAAATCTCGCCAACCTGTTTGATTTTGTATTTTAGTTAATTTCTTTTGTGTAGAAATGTATTCTTATTATTTTGCAATATTTCTCTTTTCTAATTCAGAAGTTACATATTTAATTTCCTCTGTAAATCATTATCGTATAAAACTGTATTTATCTAATTTCCGTGTCATTCAATATAATATCTGTATACTGCCATGCATATTATTACTGCTTTTAATTGATCTGCATCATATGACTGAGGGAGAACAAATATTGAAAATTTCACCTTAAATTTGTTGTGTTGGTATTCACGTAAAATGTTGTTGCTAAAATGTTGCTTATGACATGCACATGATATAACATGTTCATTTTGAAGCTATGAATATAATATTAAATTGTCCAAATGGACATTGGGCGTTTGGGGCGCATAGCTCAAGCTATTAAAGCGTTCACGCACACTTCCTTACCCCATGCTTAGAAATTGGTCCGGGTCTTAAAACGGGCCAGATTTAATCCGTATGTAGCTTTTCCATGGAGGTATAAACTGTTTATACCTCCATGGCTTTTCTTAGATTTTGCTAAACGTTCACGCACCTTTTCTTAGCATGGACTAACGTTTTTCACCTCTTAGGCCCGTGCTAAGGAGCTGCACGCGAACGCAACTAATTATATGTAGTGAAAGGGCACCGACACGTCCGGTACTAACAGAATGGGGTCACCGTGAACAAATAACAATAACTGGTACCTCCAGACACCTCTATACACATATAACATAGAAATCTCTGACATCATCGTCCGCGCCATTGTCTCGTGACAAGGGAAAACATGTGACTGTGTGTAACATAGGAAAGTGGTCATTGGCCTAGTAGACTATAAAGAACTCGGTATAGCGAGCACCGAGACATTTCAGAGTTGTACCAGCTCGCACTATGAAGCCAATATACCCCCGGTATGTCTTGTCGCTGTTTATAGTGTATGTGGTTGTAATCATAGCTACGACCAATGCAACCCCACTGGTTCCAACAGAAGAATTCACGCACCATGCATTCCTAGATGAATTTGGTCTCTACAAACTATATTGGAAGTTTAACCAAGAGAAGATCACGTTCGAAGTTCACGTGAAAACAACTGGTTACGTCGGTTTTGGGTTTTCCCCAAATGGAGGTATGCCGGGATCGGACATTGTCATTGGCTGGGTGACTAACAACGGCAAGACAAGATTCACTGTGAGTACTAGTATACGGAATTTATGTTATTGGAAATAAGATTTGCCTTACTTCAACATTTCACTCAGCGCGAATTACACCAGGCGCATTAATAAAAAAACTGATTCACCAACACACACTTTCCAGATAACATTCGTTTCTGTCGTATAAGGAAAACTTAGTTCCAGACTAATTTTGTTAGAAAAAAATAGAAACTCGGCGATGACAAACAAAAAACCGTGCAAAATATTTGTTATAATATATTATTTTTTGTCTGACCCCGGCAGGGTTTTTTACTGTGTATTTTTTACAATTACTCTCTGCAGAGTTTTTAATGGTTTGATCCCATTCTCTAGACTGGCGCAGTCTTGTGATTAATTTGTTTTTGTAGTTTAAATAAAATAAAAACATCGCGAGACTATGGATAATTTATCACTAAGCTAGATAGTCTCCAGGGAACGCCCCACTAGTTGCGGCTCTCTGTGGCTCCCTTGGTCAGGTCATAAGCTCGAATACTCTACAAGGGAAAGTGGGTCGACCCTATTCTCCTTCCCAGAGTTCCTTGCGGTTAAATCACCGAAAGTATTTCTGCCACCACACACCGCCATTTTGTGGTGAAACACCACAAGACTTTTACTACGCGTATCATTTGCGTATTTTTGTTATTAGAGGGCTCTCGTGTTGTTTTATTCCTTCTGGAAAACAAGTTTTAAAATATGTTATCGATAGCTAATAAGGATTTTTCCGTAAATGCACTGTCAAGGGTGAAATAGTTATAATTTAGAAAAGAAAATAATTTCATCGCGGAATAACGGTTACTAAGGTGTTACTCGGTTCATCAAATTGACCGTCTTGTCGTTTGCCAGGCAAAAAAATATAAAGAAACGATTGCACTTAGGAGTTATTGACGGCTAAATCGTCCTACTGTCACATCGTCTGTGCTACATAAAGAAAAAAAAGCTTCTAACTTTGAAAACGGTCAGTATATGCAAACAACGCGTACACATTCCGTCGGGTTCGAAAATCGAACACCTGCATGGCAATGTTTTGGTGAGCGTCTTTGAAAGTAGTACCACTGTGACACATCGACCAATCAACGACAAGCATAAGATCGTTTTCTCAACATTGTTCAAGTGTTCGTTTCATGAAAACGGCGTCTCTGACAAAGACAGGTTACGACAAAAATTGAATCGAAGCATGAATGCAAGTTATATAAGTTAAATAGGTCAGAAAAAAAGGAATACAAAAGGCATTGAGTGATGGTTCGCACATTACCTTGTATATTTACCAAACCTCAATCAGTCAGGCAATATTATTTGAAAGTACAAATATGCATAGTTTAATTTGCTTGCATTGACCAATCTGATTGCCGGGAATTTTATGACGTCGTAGGGTTCAACAAATAACACGGGTCAAAATACTTTTCATGGCGTGGATTGCTATCGATGTCGCAGAAAATTACACCATGAATTATCACAGTTGCTTATGGTGATGCGAATCAATCTTCCACACAGAGTTCTATTTCTACGAACATACTAGTATTTTGCCATTACGCGATTTTACGTTAGTCGTTGATTGGTAGACGCACCACAAAAAACAATGCCATGCCGGTTTTCAATTTTCGAACAGGGCGACTGTGTAAGCAATATTCGTAGTTTCTGCTGTTAGGGTTGTAGTAGAATGGGTTTATATTTCTTCGCCTTGCAATCGGCAGGACGGTCAGCTTGAAGAACTGAGTAACACCTTACTAATCGTTACTCCGCGATGAAATAAATTGTTTAACCCTTTTCAATTTCACCCCTTTCCTTGGGATATACATGACTGCATACGACAAACACGTGACTACATAATATAAACTCAAGACGACATAACATAAACACGTGACTACATAATGTAAACTTTAGACGACATAACATAAACACGTGACTACATAATGTAAAGTCGGGACGACATAACATAAACACGTGACTACATAATGTAAAGTCGGGACGACATAACATCAATTAGTGACTAGATAATGTAAAGTCGGGACGACATAACATAAACACGTGACTACATAATGTAAAGTCGGGACGACATAACATAAATTAGTGACTAGATAATGTAAAGTCGGGACGACCTAACATAAATACGTGACTACATAATGTAAACTCTGGATGACTTAACATAAACACGTGACTACGTAATGTAAAGTTGGGACGACATAACATAAATTAGTGACTAGATAATGTAAAGTCGGGACGACCTAACATAAATACGTGACTACATAATGTAAACTCTGGACGACATAACATAAACACGTGACTACATAATGTAAAGTCGGGACGACATAACATAAACACGTGACTACATAATGTAAAGTCGGGACGACATAACATAAACACGTGACTAACATAATGTAAACTCTAGATGACATAACATAAACACATGACTACGTAATGTAAAGTCGGGACGACATAACATAAATTAGTGACTAGATAATGTAAAGTCGGGACGACCTAACATAAATACGTGACTACATAATGTAAACTCTAGATGACATAACATAAACACGTGACTACGTAATGTAAAGTCGGGACGACATAACATAAATTAGTGACTGGATAATGTAAACTCTGGACGCCATAACATGAA